AAAAAAAAAAAAGAAAAGAAAAAAGAAAATGAAAATACTTATTTATTTAAAATTATCAAATTATATAATATACCGTGATTAATTTTTTTTTTCTCTCGTAAAATAAATATATATTTTTTCCCGGTAATTGTGAGTAAAATATTGTTGAGTGACGTCATATGTTGACGTCAGAAGAAAATCGTTTACCCCCCCCCTCCATTTTTTGATCAAAATATTTAAATTTTTGTGTTGCACTTTTAATTTGATTTAAATTGTAATTTCAAATTCTATGCCAACCGTTGTTGTAAAAGAAAATTTTTTTTTAAAAAGTTTATTTAGACATTTTTATTTATTTGTAATAATAAAAACAAAAATAATCTTTATAAAAATTATAATTAAATAAATAACGAATAATAAATAAATTTCGATTTGTTTTGTTTTTCGTGATAACACAAAAAAATAAAACAAACAAATTTCGAAAATGTCATTGATAGATAAATTTTTTTAAATTCAACAAACAAACAAACAAACAAAAATAACAAACAACCTTTTAAAATAATAATAATAATAATATTGTAAACGGAATCACATATATGTATATTTTAATTTAGAAAGTTAAAAAAAAAAAAAGTATGAGGAAAGAAAACAATAAGAAATCGAATAATACAAATAATAAAAATATTTAGGTTAATCATGATGATGGTGGTGGTGACCATTGAATATTTTAAACTAAATTGTATTTAGTATGGCTTTACACGACTTTTTTTCCATCTTTTTCTATTTCTTTCTTTTCTTTTCTATTTTTTAAATGTCGAAAATTAAATTTTATTTTATATTGTTTTATTTATTTATTTTTTAAACGAAGGGACAAAATTCAATTGTTTTCATTCTAATACGTTTTCTATGTTTTTTAAAATTTAAAATCATTTAAAACAGTAGAAAGTTTATACACCTGAAAGGCAACGAACTCTCTCTCTCTCTCTCTTTCTCTCTCTTTCTCTCTCTCTCTCTCTCTCTCTCTCTCTCTCTCTCTCTCTCTCTCTCTCTCGTTGGTTGTGTTATTTAATGTTACTCCTATGACAGTTTTTTTAATTAGAGTGAACGGACTCGATCAGATTGTTTTTGTTTTCATACATTGCCATACGTAATATAAATTTTATACATATGTGCGTGTGTGCGTGCTTGCGTGCGTGCGTGCGTGCGTGCGTATATAAAAGAATGCGAGAGGTTACGCATTTAGAATTTAAAAAGACAAATAAATAAATAAATAAATAAAATTTAAAAGTTGCAAAGGAATTTGCCCCTCCGGTCATTCGTCACCGAATTTAATTTCGAATTATCCATCCATCGTCGTCGTCATCGTCGTCGCATTAGTTATATCAATGCGTGATATTACGACACGTATTTTATTATTATTATTATTATTATTATTATTTAAATAACTGCTTGTTTAAACGTGAGTTATAAGTAACATTTTGAAAAGAAAAAATGTGTTTTTTTTTCCGAAATTTTTTCCGTGACGCGTACCGATACAATTTTTTTTTTTTTTGTTTTAGCAGAAGGAAAATATTATAAATAAATAAATAAATAAGGACTTTTGTTTTTTTTTTTTTTTTTTTATTTTACGACCGTGAGAGAAAACAAACGTTTCATTACTGGAAATTATTGTTTTGCTACTACCTATGGCAACCTTGAAAATATATAAATTTTTTTTTTTCTTTAATTGAAAAAATGGCAGTTGTTAGATATTGAAAGGAAAAAAAAAAACATGATATGTATGAATGGTTGGATTAATTTATTATTTGACACCTGATCATTTGTTTTGTTTTGTTTTCTTTTCTTTTTTTTTTTTTTTTGTTTATTTAATGTTTTTGTTTGTCACATCGAGAAAGTATTATTATTATTATTATTATTATTATCGATATTGTAACTTGTCCAATTTTGAAAATATTTATTTGAAATTGTAAAATCGATGAAATTTTAGAAAGTTTTTGTATTTAAAAAAAGCGGGGGGAGGGGGGGAAGAACTTGGTATTAAAGTTGTCGTTTTATCACACACGCGGTTGTATAGTAACTCTAAGTATGCCAAATATTATTATTCGTTATTATATGTTAATTAAGGTTGAATCGATGTTTTATTATTATTATTATTATTATTATTGGTTTTAAGTTTTTTTTGGGGGGAGGGGGGAAGTTGGGGAGGTTTCGAACGGAAACAAAACAGAAACTTGATGAAAACTTTTTTTTTAAAATAATATTTTTTCGAAGGGTTTCTTTCTTTTTCTGTTTACATGTGTTTTTTTTATTTCCCCTTCTCCATAATAATAATAATAATAATAATAATAATAATGGAAAGATGGATTCCAGCTGTTGAATGTTATTTACAAAAGAATTCAAAATAGTTTATATTTAAACTCGTGCACGTTGTCAACAAAAAATAAAAAAAAAAAAAATCTTAAAGGATAAACATGGTAAATGATGAAAAGCAATCGGAAGTCATTTTAAAAAATATTTATTAGTAAAAAAAAAAAAAAAAAATCTGTTGTATTTCTTGCTCTAGGCATACCCCTGCTGGTTGGGGGGAAGGAAAGGAGTAAGGAGGGGGGAGAAACGAAAGTGAAAAAGTAAATTCAATAAAGAATGAATCGAATGATTATAAATGAATGTCTCATTGTCGATAGGAAAAAAATTTTTTTTTTTTGTAATATGTTACAACGTTTTTCAATTGTTAGAAGAAAAAAATGAGTATGAGGTTAATGATGATGATGATGATGATGATGATGATGATTTTACGGTGTTCTGTCGTAAAGAAAATATGACAATCGCTCGGGTACCATATACACGATGGGGTTTTTGTTAATAAATTACCACTGGCACGAAAATCATCTTTTATTTTGACAGACACGTTGACGTTATACTTACGACGCAATTCGCAATCAGAGCAGAATGCTTTTTAAACTATTTTGCAAATGTATTGAAATTATCTTTGCGTACGCATGTTAGAAAAAGATGGTAAAATGTTAATTTTAATAACAGAAACAAAAGAGAGAGAGAGAGAGAGAGAGAGAGAGAGAGAGAGAGATGCAAAAATTTAATGTTGAACGCATTAGAAAAACTAAATGTGTCGAAATCCTTTCATTTCGAAATTTATTTTAAATACTAACAATTATTATTATTATTATTATTATTATTATTATTATTATTATTATTATTATTATTGTACTTATTAAACGAATACGTTAAAAAGTATTAAAATTTTCAATGGTTAATGACTTATGCGATCGTTTGGTAGTTTTGAAAGTTTGAGTCAATTTTATTAGCGAAAAAAATTTCAATGTCGTCAAACAGAAACATGAAAATTCGAAAAATTATTTTAATTTTTACGACGTACCAACCAAAAAAAAAAAAAAAAAAACAAAAAAAATAGTATCAATATTTGTAAAAGCAGAGCAATTTTTTATGTAATTAATAAAATTAATTATAGGTTTTTTTATTTAAAAGCAATTGTAATTTTTTTTTTTTTTTTTTTTTATAAACAATTTAATCAAATCAAAAAAAGAAAATTAAATAATAAATGGGTTTTCTCATTGGCGCGTTTTTTTTTTTTTTTTTTTTTTTTTTTTTAACAATTGCTTACCCGGAAAAACGTTGGGGCCTTTTGCAAAAAAAAAAAAAATTCAATGATGAATAAATTGGGGGGACAACCAAATAAACAAAAAAAAAAAAAAAAAAAATTCTATTAAGCTATTAAACGGGTCAAAAAAAAATTCGGGGGGATTGATTGATTGATTGTAAAATTCGTTAAAAATTTTTTTTTTTTTTTTTTTTTTGCCATTCCCTAAATTAAAAAAAAAAAAAAAAAAAGGAAAAGTTTAAAAAAATTCCATAAGTTTTTCGAGACCCTTGCCCCCCCCGAGGGGTTTTTTTTTAAAAAAAAATAAATATATTAAAAAAAAAAAAGGGTCGTTCTTTTTTTAATTAAAAAAAACGTCACATGATTCCAAAAAAAAAAGAGAGAGAGAAAGAGAGAGAGAGAGAAAATTTATGTTTTGTTTTTTATTAATTTTAAAAGGATCGTTTCGAAATTGCCATAAATTTTTTTTTTTTTTTTGTTATATCGTCGTAGAAAAAATTAATTTATGTTAAAATAAATTTTGGGGATCATAATAAAAAAAATATGGAGACGGTCGAATATTTTTCTATTTACAAAAAAAAAATTAAAATTAATACTAAATTATGGGAGGATGAGTGGAAAAAAAAAATTATTTACACTCGGATTCTTAAATTAATATTCAAAGTTAATATGTAATAATAATAATAATGTAAATTGATTTTTTTTTTGATTAAGGCAAGTGACATCGGCAAGGAATTAATGTAAAGTAATGTTTCAACGATGTCATTATTATTATTATTATTATTATTAATCAAAGGAATTCGTTAATCTCACGCACACGCACATTATGAGTTTGACTTCTTTTTAAAAAGTGTACCTGTTTTTTTTTTTTTTTTTTTTTTTTTTTCATTCTGTAATTCGTCAAAAAAAAAAATAAAAAATCAGTCGCGTGATTAGTCAGCGTCACATTACTTGCTACATAATCAAATTCGCAGAGTTTTTTTTTTTATTTAGCATCGACAATTAATTTTTTATGATGAGTTTAATTATTGTTCGAGAAGAATTCGAATCGATACGATGGTTGGTTTTTGAACGCGAATAAATAATTTTTATTTATTTGATTGTTTTAAGTGCGGTCAAGGTTTTTTGACGGTTAAGTCATAATAAATTTTTAAAAAAAAGTTTTCTGAAAAAATCTTAATAAATAAATATTTTTGAAAAGCTTTGAGTGCGTATGATTTTTCAAAATCGTTGCGCAATTGTTATTAACATGGCGACGAGTTGCGATAAAAAAAAAAAAAAAAAGAGAGAAAATAAGACGACGCGAGATATCATCTTTGAAAGATACTGCTGCGCAAACACGGTATTGATAAAAAATTAGTTTCCTTTCACGATTTCGCGGAGTAAGATGGCTGATGATTCGGAGAGAGAGAAAAAATATCGGGATAATAATAATAGTAGTAAAAAACCGCTATACACGATATCATCATGGGACGAAGTTCATCCGACAACGTCGACAATAAGGCGTCTCCCACGAGAAAACGCCGAATATAAACCTCGCCCGAAAACCGTTTATTTTGCCGACAATCCGGAATATTTTGTACTTAATCGTCGTAGCGACAAAAAAGTGTTTGATTGTAAAAAAAAACCGCAAACCAACAATGACCGTCCCACTTCCGTTCCTCCAGACTTTTATAAAATTGTTAAAGTTGAAACGGAGTCCTCGGAGAGTCCTCGTAACCGGTATCAATCCATATTGAAAAATAACGATGTTACCGAGAGAAAACAAAGACGTGATGTACCGCGAATGGGTAGCAATTGGATAAACATAAAAAGTTTTCAAACGCCCATGGTAAAAACAGTTATAAAGCACAAAGTAGAGTATGAAGCGGAAGGTGAGCCACCCGCTTTTTCTTTCTTTCTTTCTTTCTTTCTTGTTTTTTTACTCTTAAACTTTTTTTTCATTTATTATCCGCGGAAAACCGCGAAGATGAAAAAAAAAAAAAAAAAAAGGAAACCGGAAGAAATTTGTTATTAACTCCCGTTTAACGTTTGTATTTCATCACGATGCATGTTTAATCGTGTTTATTATTATTATTATTATTCCAGGGCATTATGACCGCGGGAGGAGGCCGTCGCAGGCCGCCATGACCCAACGTGAAGACGTAATAAAATTTGAACAGGGTCGTATAAAAGCATTGCAAGAAGAACGTCTTCACATACAAAAAAAAACATTTACAAAATGGATGAATTCATTTTTACAAAAGGTAAGTTGAAAAAAAAAATTTTTTTCTTAATTTCGAAAAGAATAAAGAGAGAAAAAAAAAAACATGTCAAGACTTGATGAATTTATTATTATTATCAGAATTCAATTATTTCTAATCGGCCGGAAAATTGAAAAAAATAATCAACTTATCAGCCCAAATTTTTTTTTTTTGTGTGTGTGTTCTCATTCCTCCTCTTTCGTTAATCAGTATGACAAATTATTTGAACAACAAATAAAAAATGATTTCATTTTTTAAGATACCTCCTTTCTATTGTTTTTTTTTTTTTATTTTATTTTGAGAACACTTAAAAGTTTTACGTTTTTTTTTTTTTTTTTAATAATTTAAAATTTTTATCATTTAAAATTTTTTTTTTTTTAAATGCTCTTTCAAACACAGGTCCCCCCTTTTATTTACGAGAATTATAAAAAATTATTTTAAAATATATATATTTTTATTTGGGGGAGAAAAAGAAAAAAAAAAAAAAAAAAAAAACCCCCTTTTTATTTATATATTTATTTTCTATTTCAAAATAATCAGGATTTGATAACAAAATTTAGTTTTTTTTGCCTCTCTCTCTCTCTCTCTCTCCCCAAACAAATAAACATTCTTTTAAAATTATTATTGTTTACATTCACGATTTCGAAACGGGGGGGTAGGGAAGGGAGGGAGGGAGAGGAAAGAGTCTTATGTTATTCGAAAAAAAAATGTTTTTTTTTTTTTCTATATATAAAGATTGAATGATGAATGAATATATTTACCCGTTAAGGTTTCGTATTATTTCTCAAACGTTAGCGCAAAAAAAAAAAAAAAAAAAAAAAAAAACCTCCTAAACGTCCTTTTTTCGTCTCGTAAAATCATATTTCTCATGACCTCTTTCTTTTTTCTTTTTGATTTATTATTATTATTATTATTATTATTATTAATATTTAAAATTAATTTCGAAGCGTCGTTTGCATCATTCAATTCTTTTCGAACGTCATTTATTAAAATTAATTGTTTTGTTCGTCTAAAGTTTTAACGAACGTCGCGATAATTTTCTCTCTTTTTTCGGGGAAAAAAATAAAATTCACGTGAAAATTTACGTGGATTTACTGCATTATCTCAATAATGTCGTAAAAAAGAAGAAAAAAAAAAGTAAGAAAAATTTCCTGATAACGATTAAAAATAAAAATTATTGGTCTCTTATCGGAAAAAACTTAAAACCTTACACACACACACACACATAAATATATTTTTATTATTGCTAAAAGTAAATATGAAAAAAAGAGCACAGAGAGAACGAGGCTGCGTTATTATTATTATTATTATTATTATTATTATTATTATTATTATTATTATTATTAATTTTTTTTTTTTAAATATTTTAGGCTCGGATGGAAGTGGAAGATCTCTTCACCGATTTAGCCGATGGGAAAAAATTATTAAAACTTTTAGAAATAATATCCGGGGAAAAATTGGGAAAGCCGAACAATGGAAAAATGAGAGTTCACAAAGTTGAAAACGTTAATAAAAGTTTAGCGTTTTTACAAACGAAAAAGGTAAGAAAAATTTAAAAAAATTTATTTATTTATTTATTTTTATCACAAAAGTCAGTTTCGTCTGCTTCAAGTCTCGAACACCTTGATATTTAACCAATAAATTTGTTTTTTTTTTTTTTTTATTTGACCCGTAAAATCGTATATCGCTTGCCAAGTACTCACACTCGAAGATTTGTTTTATATCATTTTAATAAAGTATTTAAGTGATTAGAAAAAGGAAACTAGGATGTGTGTGTGTGTGTGTGTGCGTGTGTGAAAATGTGTTAGAATGACGTAATACGGGTAGTTTTTTTTCTATCGGAAAGTCTCGACGAAAAAAAAAAAGAATTTAATTAATTTCGAATCGGAAAAGAAGAGAAGAAAATAATAATAATAAAGATTTATGACGAATTGATTTTTTTAAAAATATATATATGTATTGCCGTTATGTCATTTTCACGTGAAGCATACATGATAGCGGTTTTTTTTTTTTTTCATAGTTAAACATTTTCACACTCTATGACTTTAATGAGAGAGAAAAATCTTATGTTGATGAGAGAGAGAGAGAGAGAGAGATGAGTTTTTTTTCAATGGCGGAAAATATTTTAAAAACAGGTTTGAAACTCTCAAGATTTAATTTTCCTTTCTGTTGGTTTTTGTTTATGTTTTTTGCGTCTTTACAATCCCTTACGAAAGTAAATTTTTACAAAACAAAGATTTTTACTGTTAACCGTTTGTTACTGTTTGTTTGTTTGTTTTTAAATGTTTGTTATTGTAAATTATTAAAATTTCAGTAAGAGTAGTAGAAACATAAAATAATAATAATTTTTTTTTGGGATGCGAAAATTTTTGCGGTTTTTTTTGTATAAGGTGAGAGATCGCGGAATGGTTGGATGGTTGAACGATGACTGTTTGATTTCGTTTAAAAAAAAAAAAAAAAAAAATTATTATTAAATCATTTAAATCATTTGTTTTATAAGGAAAGGATGATGTGGATATGCGGCTTAGATTTTCAAGAAGAGGTCACTGACCAATGGGCTTGCATTATTTAAACGGTCAGGTTCAAAGTCATATTATTCGAGAGTAGTTTGACTAGTTTATACGGGGAATAGGCCACACACACTAATCGAACTACACAGAGATTGTGTTCATTAACGCACACCTCCACTACTACCCACCACCACCACTACCACCACGTTTTTCTCTTACCGTTCATTCATCAATAATTTTCTTTCTAAAAAAAAAAAAAAAAAAATTTTAAAACTTCCACTTCTTGTTCGTGGTCTCGTTCAAATGGTCGTCGTTATTGTCGTCAACTTGGATCTCAGTGTGTGTGTGCGTGTGTGTGTGTGTGTGCCAATTACCTACTAATGAAGAACCTTTGTCTTTTTTTTTCTCGGTGTGAATTTACAAAAAAAAAAAAAAAAATCTCGTTTAATTATTCGTTGTTGACTATTCACTTTTACTGTTTTTTTAAAAATTTATTTCTTGTAATCGTAGTTAATTAGCATTCGTTTTTGTTTTCCCACAGGTAAAGTAATTCAGGTTTATAGTTTTTTTTTTGTTTTGTTTTTGCATGTAAAAATGCGAGTACACGTTTTTTAGTCGACACAAAACACACACAATGTTGTTGTTTTTGAGGACAAAACAATAATGAATAATTTTTTTTTTTACTTTTTTTTCCTTTTGTTGTTGTCTTTTAAAAAGATGATGATATCATCATACGGTTGAGATACAATTTATTTCTTTGTGAGAAACATACGAAATATACACGTAACTGCTCTTGCTCAACCTCGATGCATAAAAAAAAAAAAATTTTTTTTTTTTTTCAGTGCGTGAAAAATAATAAACGTAACGTTAATGTTTTCGTTCGTTACGTCATAATTAAAACTTTTAATAATTATTATTATAATTAATTTAGGTTTCCCCCCCTCTCTCTCTTTTTGTTCTTGTTCGATTTGTGATTCTTTTTCAGGAGATTTGAGTTTTTTGAGTTTTTTTTTAGAGGTCGGCATTTAAAATTTTTTTTTTTTTTTCAATTTTTCATTAGCGGTTTTCCGCAAAACCGTCGTAAAATATTTACACACAAAAAAAAAAATGGTTGTCGATTTCCTTTTGTGATGATTTTTTACCTTGCATTATTTCTAAAATAGAAATTTATCTAAATCTAATTTATCTTAATCGTTTACGAATAAAAAAAAGGCTAAAAAAAAAAAAAAAAAATTGCTTCGATTTAATTTAAATTTTTTTTGTTTTTTTTTTTTTTTTAAATTATTTTAATTAGAAGCGTTTTTATCGATGAGAAAATATTTAAAATTGTTTTTTGTGGTTTGGAAATTTTTAATTGTTCATCACGACTACTATCACACGTTTAAAACGTTTGTAACAAGTATTATTGGCTTTTTTCGTGATTTCAAAAAAAAAAAAAAAAAAAAAAAATGGTTACAAAAAAAATATTTTTTGAATTATTATGGGGGTTGGGTTTGTTTGTTTTATTTTGAATGAAAAGAGATAATAATTTATTTGCGTATAACAACGTTACCGAAAATTTAAAAAAAAAAAAAAAAATGAATCTCACATTTCACGACCTCTTTATTTTATATTGAATTTTTACGTAGGTTGTCGGTTGTGTACCTGGTTTGACCTTTTGTTAAAGTATGCCAAAATAGGATAAATTGCAAAAAAAAATAAAAAAGGTGTGATATCATATTTATTTACCTTTGTATTTCTTTTTTTTTCGTTTTTGTTTTGACAAAAGTTTTTTTTTTTTTTTTTTTTGAATGATGTTGTCGAAATTATATTTCATTTGTATTTTTAAAAAAATTTAAAGTTTAAAAAGAACACGCAAAAAAAAAAAAAACTATTTAATTTATCTATCCAAAGGAATCATTGGGCCGGTACTTGGGTCAAAGTTCACTCTGCACTAATCAAAGACAAGTTTCCATAAATGGTTATAACTATTTAAGACCTATTATGTCATTTAAAAAAAAAAAAAAAACCTTGTGTCGAGCACTTATTTACATTATTTGGGTCTTCTTCTCCTCCTCCTCTTAAGCCAGATGCAAATAAAGTATGTCGGAAAAAAAAAAAAAAAAAAAAAAAAAATTTTTCCTTTAGGTACAATTGGAAAGTATCGGAGCTGAAGATATCGTTGATGGAAATCCGAGGTTAATATTAGGATTAATATGGACGATTATATTACGGTTTCAAATACAAGAAATTGAAATCGACGTCGACGAAGACAATGAAAGCAGCGAAAAGAAATCAGCCAAAGATGCATTATTATTATGGTGCCAAAGGAAAACGAATGGTTACAGCGGCGTCGCCATTCATGATTTCACAAGTAAAAACGCTAAATTTGAATTATATGGAAATTTTTTCATCGATGTAAATATTAAAAAATAAATAAATTATTATTATTATAGGTTCGTGGAGAAACGGTCTTGGTTTCAATGCTCTTATCCACGCACACAGGCCCGAGCTGATTGATTACCAATCATTGATTCCATCGAGACACATAGAAAATTTAAACAATGCATTCGACGTGGCCAATACAGAATTGGGCATACCAAGATTGTTGGACGCCGAAGGTTTAAATGGATTAATTATTTTTTGTGGTAAGTTTTTAAAAGTCGGGTTAAAATTTAATCATATAATTCCTTTTACAGATGTCGACTCGAGCAGACCCGATGAAAAATCAATTTTAACTTATGTAGCGTCATATTACCACACATTTGCCCGTATGAAGAATGAAATGAAAAGCGGAAGACGTATAGCCAACGTAAATAAATTTACTTTTTCATTTCTTTTAACTTTCAAAGCCACATTTAAATGGCCACATTTTTTTTTTTTTTTTTGTTTCTAGATTGTTGGACAGATGATGGATGCTGATCGGAAAAAAGATTATTACGAAAGACTGACGACGGATTTGTTGGAGTGGATACGGAGAAAAGTTATCGAATTAGAAGATAGAAATTTTCCGAATTCATTAGAGGGAATTCAAAAAGAACTTTTACGGTTTAAGCAGTATCGTACTATTGAGAAACCACCCAAATACAAAGAACGATCAGAAATCGAAGCATTATTTTTTCACATAAATACCTTATTGAAATCGTTAAATCAACCTTGTTTCCAACCGAGCGAGGGAAATCTCGTGCAAGAAATACAAAGGGCGTGGGAGGGTTTGGAAACTGCGGAACACAGGAGGGAAGTCGCTCTCAGACAGGAATTACTTCGACAAGAAAAATTAGAACAATTACATTATAAATTTGTCAGAAAAAGCGTTTTAAGGGAGGGATACGTAAAAGAAATGATACAAGTTTTATCCGATCCGAGATACGGTAATAACATGGCTCAAGTTGATGCAACTGTTAAAAAACACGAAGCGATAAGTGCCGATATATTAGCGAGGGTAAGAAAGACGAGTAGAGGAAAAGTTTTGAATTAATTTATAATATAATTTGATTACGCTTTTTCTTTTCTTTTCTAGAAAGAAAGATATAGCGATTTAAGTGCAATGTCTGCCGAATTAAGAAACGAAAATTATCACGGGGCTGATAAAGTTCAACAACGCGAAGAAGAAATTTTGAAAAAATGGAACGAGCTGTTGGATTTATTAGAAAAACATAAAAATTCTTTGAACACTCAAAGTAATTTAATGGCGACTTTGAGAGAAATCGATACTTTAATGGGCACCATACAAGATTTACAAGTTCAATTTGAAAGTGAAGGAGTCGGTTCTCATTTGCTGTCAGTTGAAGATTTGTTGCAGAAACACGCTTTGCAAGAATTGCAAGTGACTGCGGTTGGAGAAACGTTGGGAAAATTGAGACGTCACGGTCAGCAATTTGTCACGGCAAAGCACAAAGATGCTCCGGCTCTTCAAGAAAGATTGAACTTACTGGATAAAGCTTATAACAAGTAAATTTTTTTTTTTTTTTTTTTTTTGAATTAACTCTTAAAAAAATTTTTATTAACTTTCAATGAATATTTTTTAGTTTGGTACAAAGTAGTGAAGAACGAAGGAGTAGATTGGAAGATGCTCGAAATTTATTTCAATTTGTACAAGATCACGAAGAAGAAGAGAGTTGGGTCATAGAACGTCAAAGAATTTGCATGGCAGCAATCGTTGCAAAAGATTTAAGAGCTGTTTTGAGTTTGCAACAAAAACAAAAAGCATTGCAAGATGAAATGAAAGCGAGACGAATGAAATCCGATCAGTTGTGCGAAGCTGGTCAACGCCTCATAATCGATAAACATCCCAAGGCTAAAGACATTAGTTCCCGGATACAAAGTTTGCAAAAAGAGTGGAAACATCTTTACGAACTAGCGGACTTGAGGAAAAAACATTTAGAAGATGCTGCCGAAGCTTTTCAGGTACGTGTTAAGTAAATTAAATGAAATGTTTCATAAATGTTTTTTTTTATAAACTTACTGTGTTTTTTTTTCGTAAAGTTTTATACCGATGCAAACGAAGCAGAATCTTGGTTAAAAGAAAAAATGGCTTTGGTTGCATCCACGGATTACGGAGTAGATGAACCTAGCGCTCAAGCTTTGTTGGCTCGTCACAAAGATCTGCGAGGAGAAATCCAAGCTTACAAAGGGGACATTACAAGTTTAAATACTCATGCGCAAAAACTTATAAAATCTGGTATTGCAAATTTAGAACTTTCCACCGAACCTGAACCTCCCCAAGAAATAGAAGAATGGACTACTGAAACTCGATTGGTTCCCCAAGAAGTTTGGGAGGATGAACCTTACGAAAGAATAGAAAACAGGATCGTCATTGAAAATCGCCTTTGCCCTCAAGTAAGAAGCCTTTATCCTTTCAGCGGGCAAGGAATGGAAATGCAAAAAAATGAAATTATGTTATTGCTTCATAAAACCAATCAAGATTGGTGGAACGTGAGGAAAGAAAATGGGACTGAAGGATTTGTACCTGCTAATTACGTCAAAGAAATTGAAGGAAAAATTATTCCCGTTCAAATTCAACGACCCGAGAAAATAAAAGATACGCGAAAAATTAAAAAAACGAAAATGGTTCGTCAAACTGTTCGGGTCAAAAAACCATTGGTTCCAAAATCGCAAGGAAGATTACCCAAAAAGAAAGTGGACGATAGCCAAAATGTAGAAAAAAGACAAAAAAATATTAACGACACATATGGAGAGCTGTTAAATTTATCGGAAAAACGTCATCTCCTCCTTGAAGATTCCATCAGGTTGTACGGTTTTTACAAAGAATGTGATGATTTTGAAAAATGGATAAAGGATAAAGAAAAAATGTTGAAAACCGATGATGGAATGGACAACGTGGAAACAGCCAAAAGAAAATACGAAAAATTTTTAACCGATTTATCTGCTAGTGCCAAACGTATCGAAAGTTTAGACAAAGCCGTGGATGAATTTGTAGCGCAATCCCACTCCCACTTAGATAAAGTGAAAGCGAGACAAAAACAAATTCATCAATTATGGAATCATCTTAATTTATTAAAAGCGGAAAAAGAAAAAAGTTTAGAAGGTGCCTCGAGCGTTGAGGTTTTTCACAGGACTTGCGACGAAGCTCGAGATTGGATGGCTGAAAAATTAACGCAGTTAGACGGAGCCGAACACGGACCTGATTTAAAAACGGTGCAAGCTTTACAAAGACGACACAGACACCTAGAAAGAGAATTAGCTCCCGTTGAAGAAAAAGTAAACAGAGTTAATTTGCTTGCAAACAGCGTGAAATCTTCTTATCCCCACGAAAGAGCTAACGTCACCACGCGTCAGAAAGAAATTAAAGATTTGTGGGAAAAAGTTATAAACAAAGCAAAAGACAAGAGATCCAGATTGGAAGATGCAGTCGGTCAGCAAGTTTTCACCAACAGTTCGAAAAATCTTTTAGTTTGGGCCGATTCGGTTAAAGAAGCTTTGAGAGCCGATGAACCGGTGAGAGACATAGCTACTGCGGAATCTTTACAAAAAAAGCATTCTGAATTAGATGACGATATTAGAGCTCACGAAGACGAATGGAGTGAAGTCGTGTCTTTGGGGAAAAAATTACTCAATAGAAATCCTCAACTCGATGATGTGAGAGAAAGATTAATGAAACTGGATGCAGAGTATGAAGCTTTGAGAAGGGGATGGATCGAAAAGGATAATTGGTTAAAACAGTGTCTCGACCTTCAAGTTTTCAACCGAGAAGCTGATCAAATAGACGCATCAACATCAGCACACGAAGCATTTTTAGAATTTTCCGAAGTTGGGGTAAGTAATTAAATTTTTTTATAAAGTCCCCCGATTAGCCTAACTTTGCTTAAGTTCTAGTCTTGTCTTGCGTGTCGCCATTTAATCTCTTATTTTTTCTTCGTTTAAATATTTATTTTATTAAAATTTTTGGTAATTATAAAGGATAAACGAATTTGGGTAATATCCATTCGAAAGCCCAATCGGCCAATGGAAGGCCTACGTCGACATCATCAACGTGATGTCTATAATGTATTGGAGGTGGCTCCGAGCTTGGAGGTGGAATTCTTTTAATTGTTCTTTTAGGAGGATAACCGTAGGGCGAAACGCAATAAAACCTACTTTTAAATCTATTTACGCGTGGATCCCAACCAACCCTCAATTCATTGTCGACGCAATTGAATTTCACATCCGTATGTTCGGGATCTAAGGTTTTCGATTCGAATAACTGTTTCAACACCACTAAAGAACTGTGGGTAATTTTGTTACCCCAAATAAACAAACCTCTGAGTTTCTCCATTTTTTTTATAGTGTAAAATATTCTTAGCATGCCTTCATCCGTGATACGATTTCTAGTTATGTCGAGCAATCTTATTTTACTAAAAGGTAAAGCGTTACCGAGAGCAATGGCTCCCAAATCGCTGAAATTATTCGCTCCTATCATGAGACACTCGAGCTGCGGACAAGTTTTTAAATAATTACATAAAAATTCGACTCCGTCATCCCCGATATTATTATTATTAAAATTCAAACATATTAAACTTTTGTTGAAAAAGAGTCCTTCCGTTATAATTTCCATGTCTCGAAAATCAAATCCAAGATTTTCCGCGTGAATCTCTTTCAAATGATTATTAACTTCGACAATTTGACTTATTTGTTCGGCAAGATGAGCGTCGGGAACTTGATGGTACGTTTGCGGTAACGGTCGACTTATGTCGATATACTCCAAAAAATAAGGTTTTCCTTTTTTTTTAATCAGAGTACTCAAAATATAAGCCAAACCCTTTGCGCTTTGATGAGTGTCCGAAATGTCTAGAAATTTTAAATTTGGAGCCAGTTTTAATATTTTACATAATAGTCTTCCGCCCTCGTCTCCGATTTTGTTTCCGCTCAGACGAAGGGTACGCAATGGTAAAAATTCGGAAAATTCTGATAAATATGTGATTCCTCTGGGACCAATTTCGTTACCTATCAAATTCAGGTATCGAATGACGGGTCTTTCTTTAAAGAAATTAACTAAAATTGACATTCCGCAATCGGTGATTTCGTTGTAGGGTAATTCGAGAGCAATTACATCTTGATGATTTCTCAAAAACATTGCAATTTTTACCAAATCTCTGTCGCGAATCCGTTTACCTATTTTTTTAATCAATTCGTTTCCCGGAAGTATTAAATTTTTAGTACCATCTGCATTTTTATCACAATGCATATCCAAAAAAAGTTCGGTTAAATAAGTTTCTTTTAAAATGGCGTCCTGCGCGCAAAGTGTCATTTTTTTTTTTTTTTTTTTTTTTTTAAAAGAATTAAATTAAAATTAATACAATTGTAAAAGAAATAAAATTTTATTTCAAATTACATTTTTTGTTGTTGTTGTTGTTGTGAGAAAAAAAAATTTTCGCGGCCTTCGTAATTCGTTTTTATGGTTTAATAATTATCGTTTCAGAATTCTTTGGATGACGTGAAAGCTGCTGAAAAAAGACATTTGGATTTGGAAAATACGTTGGCCGCACAAGATGAAAAATTACTGTCATTTAGCGATTTCGCGGATATTCTTATATCCAAACATCATTACGATTCTAAAAAGTACGATTTTTAAATTGTTTAATTTTTTTTCAATTGTAAAATTATTTATTTGCAATTTTTACAATTTTGTTTTATAGCATCGATAATAAAAGGCATCAAGTTATAGCACGTCGACAGGCCGTCAAAGATCTTGCCGACGCTCGTCGATCGGCATTATCGGCTGCTAATAACTTTCAAGAATTCGCTGCCAAAGTTGACGATTTAAAAAGTTGGGTCAGCGATAAAACCAAAGTGGCAAGCGATGAATCTTACAGGGATTTGAGTAATCTGGAAAGGAAATTGCAAAAACACGAAGCCTTCGAGCGAGAGCTAAAAGCAAACGAAGGACAATTAAGAGCCATAAATAAAGCGGGACAAGGATTTACCAACGATAATAATTACAGGAGCGATGACGTGAGTAAAATGTTAAAAACCCTTAACGCGGAATGGGAAAACCTAGTCAAATTGTCACGTGACAAAGGCAAGAGATTGAGACAAGCCGCCGCGCAGCATACTTACAATAGAACAATCGAAGATGCTCGATTAAAATTAGAAGAAATTAAACAAGCCCTGCAATCCGAACAAGTCGGCAATGATTTAAGGCACTGTAAGGATTTATTAAAGAAACACAACGCATTGGAAATCGACTTGGCCACGTGGGAGGGTAAAATAAATGATTTGACAGCCGTGGCTGAAGATATGGCGCAAGAGGGTCATTTCGATGCTGAAAATATTTTAAAAGCAAGTCAAGATTGTCAAAAAAGGTTATTATTATTATTATTTTTTATAGTTTTTCGTTAGGAATAATTAGTATTAACTAATTAGTAATTTAATTAAATTTTTTTTTTTTTTTGTAAAATAGATTCGAAGATTTAAAAGAACCCGCAAAGAGAAGGAGAGCAATGCTCGAGGAATCACTTAAATTTCATAAATTTGGTTTCGAATTGGATGCTGAGTTGCAGTGGGTGCGAGAGCATAAACCATTGGCTACGTCTACTGTTCTCGGTCAAAACCTTCATCAAGCTCAGTCTTTGTTCAAAAAACATAAAAAATTAGAAGCCGAAATTGAAGGACATCAACCAATGATTGATAAAACATTATCGAACGGTCAACAACTTCTCGAACAAAATCATTTGAAAACTCCCGAGGTAAAAAAAAAAAAAAATTTTTTTTTTTTTTTTTTATCATTGAAATGTATATTGACGAATATATATTGTTTTTAATGGTTTAAAAAGTTTTTTAATTTTTAGGCTGTCATGTGTAAGGATATTATTATTATTATTATTATTATTGGTTTAAGGTAAAAAATGTACTATGACTAAATGTGTACAATTTGCCTTTAATTTCACATTTTTAAATGTTTTGTTTGAGTTTTTTTATTTTTTTTTTTTATTTTATAATTATTATTTAAAAGTTTTGGCATGTTGTAAAAAAAATTTTATGGTTTTAATAACTGTGGCATAATTTTATTATTATTGAAATAAATCGTAGCCTACTTATTTATTAAGTAAAAAATTTATTATTATTATTATTTAACAGATTGAAGCGCTGTGTAAAAAACTTGAAAGCGAGTGGCAAGACCTTGAAAAGAGTACAAAGGAAAGAGCTAAAAAACTTGAATTATCATTAAAAGCCCAAGAATTTTTTTTCGAAGCTGGCGAAGTAGAATCTTGGCTTACCGAGAAAAATGACGTACTCAGTTCTACGGATTATGGAAGAGATCGAGATGCAGCTACAAAACTCCTTACAAAACACAAAGCTTTGGAATTGGAATTGGATTCCTACAACGGAATCGTAACAGAAATGGGACACGTAGCTGATAAAATGGTTATTTTAATTACGATAAGTTTTTTTTTACTGAAATCTTTTTCTAGAACGTTTATTTAATTTTTTTTTTTTTTTTTTTGCTGTTGTGTAGGTCAGTTCCGGTCATCCGGATGCAAAAGCTATATTAGCTAAACAGCAACTTTTGTCTCAGCAAATGAAACTCTTGCAAAAATTGGCCACTTCTCGTCAGCAAAGGCTCATGGAATCGATGTACAGACACGAATATTTCCTAGAATCCGCAGAACTGGATCAATGGATCAAAGAACAAATGCTGACGGCAACATCCGAAGAATACGGACAAGATTACGAACATTTACTCCTTTTGCAAAGTAAATTCGATGATTGGAAGCACCGGTTGGATGCAGGGTCGGAAAGATTTAATCAGTGCGAAGAATTAGCTCAAAAATTAATATCTAACGACAGTCCTTATGTTGCCGACATTGAAAAACGTCAGGATCAATTGAGGTAAATATTTTATTCATAACCGATAGAATTATCACTTTTGTATTTAATTTTTAATTTGTTTGAAATTTTTTTTTTTTTTTTTTTTTTAGCGAATCTTGGGCAAAACTTTTAGAGCAAATGAACAATCGAGAGCAAAGATTAAATGCTGCGGGAGAAATTCACAGATTTCACAGAGATGTTGCCGATGCTTTGTCTCGAATACAAGAAAAAAACGCGGCTTTGCCAGAGGATCTCGGTCGAGATTTGAATTCCGTTATTGCTCTGATAAAACGACATGAAGGATTTGAAAACGATCTTGTCGCTTTAGAAGCTCAACTTCAAATTCTCATCGAAGATGCGGCTAGACTCCAAGCGCAGTATCCGGGACAAAATGCTGCTCAAATAGAACAACAGCAAAAATTGGTTCTTGACCACTGGGCGGCTCTTCAATTAAGAGCATCCGATAGAAGAGAACTTTTAAACGAAGCTTGCGATCTTCATAAATTTTTGAGTCAAGCTCGCGATTTAATGAGTTGGGCATCTGGTTTAAGAGCTAATATGATGACAGAAGAAAAAGTTAGGGATGCAGCCAGTGCGCAAATTCTCAAAGCTGAACACGAAGCCGTAAAAGCCGAAATAGAAGCTAGAGAAGATGTCTTTGGTAAAGTTGTGGCTTTGAGTGAGGAAATAATAAAAAATAATCACTACGCAACTCCCGTAAGTCATTAAAAAATAATAATAATAATAATAATAATTGTTTTTAAAAGCTGTATTTGATGTATGTTTAATAACTATCATATACTTTCAGGAGATAACTGAAAAATTGACTGCTTTATTGGATGAAAGGCAACGTTTACACTCAGCATGGCAGCATAAAAAAGTTCATTTAGATCAATTGATTGACCTTCATTTCTTTTTAAGAGACGCCAAACAAATATATACTACGAGCAGTGCACAAGAAGCAGCTCTTAACAATAATGATTTTGGTACGACAGTCGATGAAGTTGCTTCTCAAGTCAAAAAGCACGAAGCATTTGAAAAATTAGTGGGCACTCAAGAAGAAAGAGTTCTCGCTTTGCAAGAGCACGGTGCTAAATTAGTGCAGCAAAATCATTTCGAAACTCCTACCATTAAACAACATTTATCTGACGTTGTTGCTAGAAGAATGAAAATAGCCCAACTTTGTCAGAAACGACGGCAAAATCTCGAAGATTGTTTACTTCACGCCCAATTCGTGCGTGACGTTGCTGAAGCGGAGACTTGGATAGGAGAAAAACAAAAGCGCCTGCAAGCTGATGTAAATCAAGGTGAAGAAACGGCGTCGTTAGAGGATAAAATTAAAAAATTGCAAAAGCACCAGGCTTTCCAAGCAGAATTGAGTGCAAATCAACCCAGGATAACAAACATCAAAGGCCAATGCGACCAACTTTTATCGAAAAAGCACTCATCTTCAAAACAAATTCAATTACAGTGGAACAACCTTTTGGAATCGTGGAAAAAACTTTTGCAAGACGCTGATAATTACGGCCGAGGATTAGAAGAAGCGCAAGATATTCTCGAATTCAACAATCAAGTTGAAAAAATTGAAGCGTGGATTAGAGACAAAGAAATGATGGTGCAAGCAGGAGAAATCGGTAAAGATTACGAGCATTGTTTTGCATTGCAAAGAAAACTGGATGATGTCGATTCGGATATGAGAGTCGACGATGCAAGAATTAAATCAATTTACACTCTTGCGGACAAACTTATTCGACAAGGACGAAGCGATACGCAAGTCAAAAGCAGAAGAGATAAATTATCTAGCAAATGGCACGCCCTTCAAGGAGCTCTTAGCTCTTACAGAGATAGACTCGGAGGAGCTTTAGAAGTGCATAGTTTCAACCGAGATCTTGATGACACAATTTCTAGAGTGGCAGAAAAGGCCACTGCCATGTCTTCTACGGATTTAGGTCGGGATTTAGCTGCTGTAGAACAACTTAAAAGACGGCAAGAAACATTGGAGAGAGATATGACTGCAATTGAAGGGAAAATGAAGGTATATTTTTGATCCATAGTTTATTATAAATTAGATAATATTGGTTTTTCTTCTTTTCACTAATTTTTAATTTACTTATTTTAATTATTAGGAACACGAAGGCACCGCTCAAGTTCTCATTAAACGTTATCCAGAAATGTCTGGGTCGATAACCGAAAAATCATCCCATTTAAAACAGCAGTGGGAAAAACTACAGGATTTGACACTCAAAAGGCGAAATGCGTTACAAGCAGCTTATACCAGACATAAATTTCATTCGGACCTTAAAGAATTACAAGATTGGATCGAGGAAGCCATTAATAAAATGAAAGGTAAAGAACTTCCTGCGTCCGTAGCGGAAGCCGAGGCTGCCATACATTTACACGGAGAGCGAAAAGCGGAAATCGATGGTCGTTTGAAAAAGGCGCAAACTTTAAAAGATTTCGGTTTGAAATTGATATCCGAAGAAGATGATGAAAAACTCAAATCCAGTTTAGACGTTCTCGACGATTTGCAAAAGGATTTAAATGAAGCTTGCGAGGAAAGAAGGAAAACTTTACAGCAAGCTTTACAATTGGCTATATTCAGAGATCAAGCCGATCAAGCCGAAAGATGGCTCGATAATAAGGAAGCTTTTCTAAATAATGACGATTTAGGTGATTCATTACCCAGCGTTGAAGCGTTGATACAAAAGCAAGAAGCTTTTGAAAAAACATTAGCAGCGCAATCTAGTCGAATAGAAGATTTGAAGAAATTCGCACATGAAATAGTAGCAGACAAGCACTACGATCAAAGCGGTATCGAAGCGAGATTAAATTTGGTCACGTCTAGAAAAATAAAATTAAAAGAAAGTTCCGAGGCAAGGAAAAAAAAACTATTGGAAACGAAAAAATTATTACAATTTTTAAGAAACATTTACGAGGTAAGTTTTATTAAGTTTTTGTTAAAAGTAATAAGAAACTCTTCCTTAATCCATTACATTTATATTAAATTTGAATTTATTTATAGGTTCAAACGTGGTTGCATGGAAAAACCCAAATAGCAAACGATGAAAATTACAGAGACTCGTCGAACCTTCAATCGAAAATTCAAAAGCACGCAGCTTTCGAAGCCGAACTTCAAGCAAACAAAGACAGGATAAACGGTGTCATAAACGAGGGAGAAAAATTAATAGCAGAAAATCATTTTGCATCCGATGATATAGATTCTCATTTATCCGAATTGAAAAGTCATTGGGATAATTTATTAAAAGCCAGTAAAGACAAAAAGGAAAAATTAAACGATGCGTACCAAGCTCTCATTTTTATTCGTTCGTTAGAAGAATTAGAAAGTTGGATGAATGAGGTAGAGGGAATATTGAGCTCCGAGGATCACGGCAAAGATTTAGCGAGCGTTGCTCATTTGCTTAAAAAACACGCAGCGTTGGAAAATGACGTGGACGCTCATGGGGAAAATGTTAAAGTTCTGAAAGAAAATGCAGCTTTATTCGATTCATCGGAGCATTTTATGAAAGAAGAAATCGACGAAAGGTTTTCAGCAGCTTTAAAAAGGTAAAATTACAATTGAGATTTCATTAAGGTACTTTGGACTGAAAATTAAATTTTTTTTAGATATCATTCTCTTCACGAACCGATGCAAATTCGAAAAGAAAATTTAGAAGATTCTTTGTTATTACATCAGTTTATTCGAGACGTCGACGAAGAACTTGAATGGCTTGAAGAGAAAGAACCGACGGCAACTTCCGAAGATTTAGGAAGTAGTTTAACTACGGTTCAAAATTTACAAAAGAAACATCAAGCTCTCGAAGCGGAATTGGTGTCCCGGGAACCCGTTATTTCCGCTTTGGGAGCTCGAGCTCAACAAATGGCACGAAGCAATCATTTTGCTTCCGGCGAAATTGAAAAAAAAATGCAAGAACTAAGTCAAAATTTCGAAAGAATAAAAGATTTAGCCAGCGTTAGAAAGTTGAGACTTTTAGATGCTGTAGAATCGCAGACCGTAAATATTTTTCGAGCTTACTTTTCATTTTTTTAAACGATAGTGTGATGGTATTACCGAGTCTTTTGTTTTTTTTGTTAGTTTTATACCGAAGCAAGTGACGCTTCTACTTGGCTGAAAGAAAAGAAACCGCAATTAACATCTTCGTACCTGGGAAAAGACGAAGATTCCGTTTCTGCTCTGTTAAAAAAACTGGCAAGCATTCAACGGGACCTTTCTGCTTTTGAAAGCACGGTTGAAAAGTTGAGAAAACTTTCCAATGGCCTCATCGAAAGAGGTCATTTTGACAGCTCGAACATAAAATTAAAACAGGTATTGTGAATTTATAGATGGATATTAATTTTTTTTTTTATTCATTTTACAAGAGGATTTTGTTTTTTGCAGTCCGAGCTTGAAGTGTCCTACGCAGAACTTTTAGAGTCTTCTAAAATCAGGGAATCAAGACTGGCAGAAAGTAAAAAATATTTCAAGTTCATTCGTGAAGTGGATGAAGTGGCCGAATGGATCAACGATCAAACGGCTTTGGCCGCCTCGGAGGATTACGGAAGCGATGTTGAACACGTGGAATTGTTAATAAAAAAATTTGAAGCGTTCATTTCATCGCTGAACGCAGCGGAATCACGGATTTCAAAAGCCATTGAAAATGGAATGAAACTCGTAAATGAAAATAATCCCGAGTCGCACAAAATCAAAGAAAAAATAAAAGAAACTCAGCAATTGTGGGATGACGTCAAAGAATTGGCTCATGCGAGGCAAGAGGTAAGTATTGCTAAATTTCAAAAAAAAGAATTTGTTAGAGTTTGTGATAATTTTACCATTCATAAATTAAACAGGCTTTGGCTGGAGCGAAACAAGTTCACATGTTTGATCGAGCAGCCGATGAAACCATTGACTGGATAGACGAAAAAGAAGCCGCTTTGACATTGGACGGTTTTAGTCAAGATTTGGAAACTATTCAAGCTTTAGTTCGTAAACACGAAGGATTCGAAACGGAATTGGCAGCCGTTAAAAAACAAGTCGAAAGCGTGAAAAACGAAGCAAATAAATTGGCGAGCATGTTCCCTGACACGAGGGAACACATCGAGGTTAAACAAGAAGAAGTTTGTGATTCTTGGACGTCTCTTCTAAAAAAAGCAAACCAAAGACGGGATCAGTTAATGCAAGCCGAACAACTTCAATCCTATTTTGATCAACATCGAGATTTGATGTATGACGTGTCAAAATATAAAATAATTTTTCACTTCTTTATTATTATCGAATCGAAAATTTTACCTTAAATTTCTATATTCCAGGGCTTGGTTAAATGAAATGATAGCAAAAATAACGGCACCGGATTTAGCTCAAGACGTGACGGGAGCCGAAGCTCTTATTGCTCGTCACACGGAGCATTATGCAGAAATTGCTGCCAGGTCAGATGAAATCACTAAATTTCACGTGGACGGAGATAAACTCGTTAATCAAGGTCATTTCCTGTCGGAGGAAGTTGGTGAAAAAATTAGGATTCTCAAGGATCGATATAAATTACTTTTGGACACGTGGAATAAAAGAAAAGATATTTACGAACAAAATTTGGACACGCAAATATTTAAACGAGATGCGGATTTACTGGAAAATTGGATGACAGCTCGAGAACCCGTTCTTCGCGATGGTCAAGTTGGAGAATCGATTAATCAAGTCGAAGATTTACTCAGAAAGCACGACGACTTTGAAAAAACAATATCGGCTCAAGAAGAAAAATGTAAAGCTCTTCAAAGGATTACTTTGTTGGAAAAGTATTTCCAACAGCAAAAAGAAGCAGAACAAGCGGCTAGATTGGCAGAAAAAGAAAGAATAGAAAGAGAAAAAATCGAAGCTAGAAAGAGGAAAGAAATACAAAGAATTACGGATGTAAGTTTTTTCAAGATGGAATACGTATCTACGTGTATTCTATTTTTTTTTTATAACGCTTATTTTATATTCAGGAACGACGAAGGGAAGATGAAAAAAGGCGGCAACAAGAGACGAGGCCATCGGAAATTAATGGAAATGCTGTTGTCGGCTCCAGAACGTAAAAAATTTTTTTTTGTTTTAAATATCTCTCTGAACCTGTAAAAACAAATATGTATATCACCAAAAAAAAAATTTTTTTCTTCCAGGTTACAAGTTCCAGAATCCCCCAATTTACATAAAACTGGTAGTTTCTCTCAGCTTATCGGTGACAAAATGCGACGAGAAATGAAAAGGGCAGAAAGTATGAAAATCGAAACTAAAAAGCCAAAGCGAACGCCCAGTTTTACAACGAGAAGAAGAACTCAAAGTTTTAGAAAATTACCACCCGTGGAAATCAGAGGATTACTCGATAGAAAACAAGATCTTCAAAGTGGGGGTAAAAAAGCACCCGTGAGATCATGGAAAACTTTTTACACAGGTATGAAAACAGGTTATAAAATTATAAGTCTTTGATTGCATTATAATAATCATTAAAAAAAAAAAATTTTTTTTTTTTTCCAGTTCTTTGCGGTCAATTGCTTTGCTTTTTTAAAGACAAAGAAGATTTTGTTAATAGCAAAGCAGCTTCATCCCCTGTCAGCATATTGAAAGCCAAATGCGAGAAAGCTCAGGATTATACTAAAAGGAAACACGTTTTTAGACTTTGTTGCACCGACGGTTCCGAATATTTATTCTTGGCCGATTCGGAAGAAAAAATGTCGGATTGGATAAATAAAATAAGTTTTCACGCTCAGCTTCCTCCTTCCATGCAACTCTTGAGTTACGACGAATCGCAAAAAGTATGATGGCGTCACCGTTAAGACCATTTATTAAGCGCCATTTTTTTTTTTTTTTTTTTTATTTACGTAAACGTTTTTTTTATTTTAGAATAACGAAGATAGAATATCAAATACGACGGGAGATGTTAGTTCGGGATCTAGTCGAACGTCTTCTCCTGAGCCTACGAGTCCAGCAAAACCAATTCAAACTCAAACGCAATTTTTAGCTCAATACGGACCTCCGATTCCACCCCGATCTGCTCCTCCTCCCATTCCAACGGGAGTACCAATGAGACAAAAGAGTATGGGTTCGTCAGCGTACCTTTTAATTTTTAATTTCCCCCCCCCCTCCCTTATTTAATTTTACGTTACGTTAAATTTAAAAAATTTTTTAGATGGTTTTGACGTCAGAGATGGTACCGGTCGGCAAAATGGTTCACACGATTCCTACAGGCACAGTTTGGACACATCATCTCCAGGTAAATGTGTTTTTCTAAAATGCCTAATTTTTAAGGGTATACGTGTGTAAATCTATTTTTTTTTTTTTTTGCTTTGCTTTTGTTTTTCTTCCTTTAAAAAACGTCGACATTAAATTTTTTGTATACCTTAATCTGGGAATTTTATGTTAATGTGTGCTTTTGTGTTATCCTAATCGTGAAACGTTTATAGAGTCGTTGTCGCCACCGCCATTACCCATGACACAACCACCACGTGGATATCAATATGGCGGACATCAGGGTTCACTTTCTCAAAATGAATTATCTGGAATATCTTACAATCACGGTCCCACTCTTCGATCCGAATATCGAGACCCGAATTCATGGATCCCCCACAATAATAGCATTTATAATCATGGTAAGTGTGAGATTGATTGAGCGACGGGGGGGGGGGGTAGGTAGTGTGAGAGTTTCGGCGAAACTCTATATCAATGCATGTCCTCTTTCGGCTTTCATCGTGACCTCATGAAATAATAATAATAATAATAATTGAGCATTGGGTTAACATTTAATTCTGCATGAATAATTTTTCTCACGTTTTCTCATTTGATCTTGTTGATCGAACGGGTGAAGAACTTTCCATAACAAACTACTCGAGGTGTCATCCATCATTACTTGTTGGTTCTTACATTTTATTAAATTTTTTTACTAGCTAATGAGAATGAATTGTACACGAGAGAGAGAGAGAGAGAGAGAGAATATTCGATGAAAAACTAACAGCATGTTTATTCCTTTCAGAACGTTTACCGATGGAAAAGTAATTAATCTGAGCCAGGTAATAAAGGGCCCTTGAAATTGCGTTACACACACACAAAAAAAAAAAGTTGTTGGTCTTGTTGTTGTTGTTGTTGTTGTTGTGGTTGTAGTTGTTGTTGTTGTTGTTGCGTGTCAAGCAAGTGATGAGAAATGCGTTCTTGGCTCCGAAATTCTTCACGGTTTTTTTTTTTTGTATTTTTTTTTTTTTTTTTTTTGGGGGTGGGACATGAATAAATTTCGTGCTCGTTCCTGATCGAATCGTACTTTTACAGGATATGGCGATATATCGCCGCCGCCTCCGAGGCCGGCTTCCATGTTAGCAGCCCCACCAAGTGAATTAAATCGTAGAGCGAGCGAAAGTTCGAGCGAGTCGGAACTTCAAAATGCCGGACGAAACAGCAAAGAAAAACGTCAAGGAGTTTTATCGAATTTTTTCGGGAGAAGGAAAAAACCTTCTAATTAATTATAGTATTTAAAAAGTTTATTATTATTATTATTATTATTATTATTATTATTATTAGTAAAATAAAGAAAATTTTATTTTTTTGTTTTTAATTATTTTTTTTTATTATTTTTATTTTTATTATTATCATTGAATAAAAAGTGAAAAATGTAATTTTTTTTTACTAATTTTTTTTTTTCTTTTATTCTTTCTGAATGGTTTGTTTATTATTATTATTATTATTATTATTATTATTATTATTATTTTAGCTTACAAAAATTTTCACATAATTGTAAAATCAGTATTTTATAATGTAGTTTACGTTCCTAAAAAAAAATAAAGGTAATAATAATAATATAAAGAAAGAAAAAAAATTAATCGTGTCTAAATATTGAAATAAACAAAAAAATATTATTGTTATTATTATTATTATTATTATTATTATTATTATTATTATTATTATTATTATTATTATTAAAGTTGGAAAAAAAATGTATTTAATTATATATTTTTTTAAAATTATAATAAATGGGGCACCATTTTTTTTTTTTTTTTTTAATGTTATTCCAATCAAAAAAATGAAATATATATAAAAATATATTGTTATTTATTTATAGTTAAAAAAAAAGGAAACAATAATAATTGTAGGAATAATGAATTTAAGTTTAAACAAAAGAATATAAAATTTTTTTTTCTTTTTTATTTTGTTTGGTTTATAACAAGGATTTATTAATACACATTAGAATAAAACATTTTTAAATAAAAATATAAAAATTTTTGTTTGTTTGTTTTTTATTTGTATTTTTATAAAATCAAAAAGTTTAAATTTTAAAAGTAATTTTTTTTTATTGTTGTATTTTTAAAAAAATTTAAAAGAAAGTCTTCCGTTTTTTTTTTTTTTTTTTTTGCTTTTTTTATTATAAAATGAAAATTAAAAAATTTTTTTTTTTTTTTTGCTTTTAAATTGAATGATTTATTTTTTATTTTATATTAAAAATGTATTATTGTCAAAAATGTATAATATAAGGCTTTACAAGAGTATTATATATGTACATTATGACAAATTAATTAATATTATTATTATTTTATATATAAATATACATATATATATTTTTAATTATTAAAAAAAAAAAAACAATCTTTATATTATAAAATTATAATTACAATTAGCTCAATGAAATTTATTATTATTATTTTTTATTTAAATAATTGTTCTACAATTGTAGTTTAATTAAATTTATGTAAATATATCAAAGGTTACTAAACATTGTAAATTTTTTTTCTTTTTTTTTTTCTTAAACTTAAGTTTATAATATTTGTTACGAAAATTTTTAATTCTCCCCCAAAAAAAAAAAAAATAATAATGATAATTTAACTAAAAATAAAATCAAAATAATTATTTTCACTAATTTATTACAAACATTTACATAAAAAATTATTAAATTGTTTATTTCATATTGTTTTTATTCTTTTAAATGGAAATAATTTTTTATTTTAATCAATTATTATTAATATTTAATAATAAATAGTTTTTAAGTCTTTTAAAGACTTCATTTTTATTTATTTTTTAAAATTTTGCATTTAATTTTTTCTTTGAATGAATGAAAAACATTTTTAATTTACCAAGTTGCATTGTAAACAAAATACGCGGCCATTTTGAATTCAGCAAGTTGCATTGTAAACAAATACGCACGCTGCCATCTTGAAATCAGAAATATCGCGAAGGCATATTTAAAATACGTGACACTGCCTTCTTAGAATATATATTCTTTCATGTTTGTGCACATATTACCTTTTTTTAATTTATTATTTTTTTTTTTAACATTTCTGTTATCAAAAATACAGTGAGCGTGACATTTCGTACAATTATTCTGTAAAATTATTATGTGCCTAGCAATTTTTTTTTATTTTTAAAATATGATAAAGTTTAATTTGCCTTAATTAAACGTTATTTAGTTGAATTATTAAAAAAAAAAAAAAAAAAATGTTATAATTTTTTTTTTTTTTTTTTGCATATACAATATTTACACGTTTAACTTTTGAATTCAGTAATGAAAACTTTAAAAGATTTTACGTTATAGTTATTTTTACGTGTTGCATTATTATTTTTTGATTTACACGAAGTTATAATGAAGGTAAAATACTTTATTTACGTAGGAAATTAAGGTCATTGATTTATTTAAAAGAATGATTAAAAATTTAAATAAATAAATAGTTGTGATTATTCATTGAAATTATTAATTTTTTTTTTTTTCCACTTAGGTGAAATTGTAAAATAATGCAGTTTAAAAAATAAAAATTAAAAAAAAAAAAGGCCAAAAGGTCTTTAATATGTTTGATAACATACAATGAGAAGTCCAATGAATGGTAAATAATTAGCTTATTATTCTTTTTCTATTAATTTTTTTTTTTTCAATGTAATATACATTCATTGAATTTTTATCGGCAGAAATAATTGCACAACAGGGGAACCCAGTTCCACAAATGACTTTTCAAAATAGTTTACCTAATCCAAACCAAAGCCATTGTTCCAATGATGCATCAAGTGATCAAAGTACCTTAAAATTAACAGGAAGTGAAAGTCCACAATCAAGCCCTAAACATTCTCCAAAGCAAGTTCATAAAAAAGAATCTAAAATCAATAATTTAACAAGAGATCCATCACCATTACAACCGGACAAAGTCGAATCAGAGCAGCAAGTAAGATTGTTTTTATTTGTTTGTTTTGTTTGTTTGTTTTCTGATAAGGAAACCAATTGAGCAATTTTTAAAAAAAAATATTTAAAAAAGTTTAATATTATTTGCATTAATAAAACTTTAATATTTGTTTTTCAAAAAAAATTATTAATAATCAATTTTATTACTGTAAATAATAATAATATTTACTTTTTTAGGAAATGAAAAGTTTTTTTTTAAGTAGTTATATAACAAAGCCATTTTAATATTACCATTGTAATTTTATCATTTTTTTTTTTTTTTTCTAATTTAAATAAAAGGATGCAGCTAGTCGTTCATCAGATTCATTGCAACCGATCGAATTAAACAGAAGCATTAGCCATGATAGCAATAATAAAGATAGAAAAGAATCTCGAGGCTCAGATAGATCTAAAAAGAAATCATCATGGTACAATGTATTTTATTCCACTTATAAATCAAGAAGTGAACAACTAAAAAGATATTTTAAAGACCTACCCAGTGATGAAAGATTAATAGGAGGTGAGCTAAAGTATTTCAATATAAAAAACTTATAATAAGCCACCATATTTTACTACTCGAAATGCTTATTGCATGCATTATTTCTTAAAAATTTATTTTACTCATATAAATATTTCAACAGATTACTCATGTGCACTACAGAGAGAAATTTTAGTTCAGGGTCGTTTGTACGTAACACAAAATTACCTATGTTTCTATGCGAATATATTTCGTTGGGAAAAATGTATATGTATAAAATGGAAAGATGTGTCTGCAGTTGTCAAGGGGAAAACGGCAAAAGTTATACCGAATGCAATACTTATAAGCACAGAATCGGAAAAACTTTTTTTCACAACTTTCACAACGAGGGATAAAGCATTTATGATGCTGTTTAGAGTGTGGCAAAATGCTCTCATGGATCAAACTATGTCTTCACAAGAAGTATGGCAGTGGGTACACACTGCTTACGGTGACGAATTGGGACTGACCTCAGAAGATGAAGATTATAATTACATTCCACCAGCGACAAATTTCGATGATAAGATTTATCCAATAGAAAGATTGTCTGCAGATTCATTATCTGAGGTAATAATAATAATTTTATTTTTATTTTTAGTGTTATCTAGAATGATAGTAGTAGTGGCCTAAATAAAAGCTAAAGGCTTACACGTTCGGGTTTAAAATATTTTTTTTTTTTTTTTTTTTTTTATAATCAGCCTTGTTTAAATCGAATAAACAAATAATTTTTTTTTTTTTTTTTTATATATAAACCTAAATGCTTGCTTGATTTGCGGATTAATAAATAATAATAATAATAATAATAATATAATTTGCGTTTAAAAAATAAGAAAAAAGAAAAGCACTTAAATATCATTATTTGAGTTATTTTTTTTTTAATATCAACTAATTGTTTTTCGAGTGCAGCAACAAGTATTTGGAGGAGGAGGAGGAGTAGGAATAGGAGGAGGAGGAGGTGGTGGTGTGGCGGATAAAGGCGGAAGTGAATTAGGATCGAGTGCAACTGATTCGACTAACAAAAGTCAAGGATCTGTGCCATCACAAAACGTAATTGTATTGGCTTAATACTGAAAATTATTTTATTATTTTCTCGTTCGATTTTTTTATTTTTTTTTCGTTTCATTTTTAATTTTTTTAAGATTCTTAATCGATGCTAAGGGTTTTTTCTTCTTTTAAACGAACATTAATTTAAGAAGTTTTCATTGGGTTCTGGCTTTAAAAAAAAAAAAAAAAAAGCGGGAAAATAAATTATATTTCTTCTCTTTTACATCATTCAAGGTTTATATTTATTTGTTTGAAACTTTTTTATTATTATTTGGGTACTTTTCTCCCCTCCCCCCCATTTTCATTTTCTTTTCATCTTTTTTGTCACACGTTAAGATAAAATGAAAAACTGCACGTCGTGTTATGTTCAATCGGAAAATTTATTTATTTATTTATTTATTTTTTTAAAAATCATTTTTAATCACGAATGGGCACATTACATAATTAATAGATTTATTAACTAAATTTTTATGTATTTTGTTTACATTATCATTGTACACACATTATTCGTAAATAAGTGCTTCTGCGTTTAAAAACCTGAAAAAAAAAAAAAAAAAAAAAAAAAAAAAAAAGTTTTTCTATTGTTTTCTCTATTGCAGGTCATATTAATATTTTTAAAATATTGAATAAGTTCGTTTTTTAAAAGGAAAACAAGGTTATCAAAGTGCATGATGATAGCATACCTTATTTAATAATAATAATAATAATAATAGTATGAATAATATTAACAATAAGCAAAAGTTTGATAAAAAAAAAAAA